AAAAAAAAAAAAAAAAAACTAAAATATAGTCATTTTTAAGTCGTTATATTATATTCTAATTTTATTTTGTTCTTTTGACTATAGCTGAATACTTCGAAGATTGTAGAACTCTCAAACACATCGAGCTTTGAAATTTCTCTGCGACCAACAAATCTCTTTTAGAAGAGCCGAGAAACGAAGCTCTAAGGTCTGATCTTAAGAGCCGAGAATCATAGCTCTGAGTTATAATCTAAGAGCCGTGACAATCTCTGATGGAGTACTGAACTGGATCTCTTCATCAACTTTCTTCATAGTTGCTAGACCTCAATTTCTCGATTTTCAGCATATTCCATGTATTTCTCGATTTTCTTGTTGTATGTATATATTTATTTCATAAAATTTAAACTAGGAAATACAGAAGGAAGTCTGATCCTGTGGATCATTAGATGATAATCCATGCATAGCATGCAGATTACCAAACATAGCAAGATTTCTACAACATTTTTCAGAGATAGTTTTAACAAAAGTAAAACCACCCTTGTCTGCCACCATCCTGGCCAGAACAAAAGGTGGGGGAAACAACCAAACTTCAATTTTATTGAAAACTGGCAAGACTCCTGCATGCTTCGCTAGGCTGTGGGCGACTTCATTCCCTGCCTGAAGTTGTGATGTAGCACCACCTTGTCCATTTGAGCCAGAAGCAACCTGCATGAGTGCATAACAGTATCATAAGCTTTGCATCCTTCGTTGATGAATGAAATTACCTGAGTAGTATCAGTCTTTATCTCCAAAGGAAAAAGCTTCCTCTTTATTGCAATACAAAGTCCCTGGTAGAGTGCCATCAGCTCTGCGTGTATTGGTATTTTAGGAGTAATTTTTGAAGCAAACTCTATCATCCAGTCCCCATTATGGTTCCTAATAACTCCTCCTATACCGCCAGCAGCTTTTGCCTTATCAAAAGCTCCATCAATATTCAATTTATACCAGCCAATTGAAGGTTTAGACCAACTAATTGTTATGTCAATTTTTTTGTCTCAATTGGACTCTCAATCAGTTAATAAATTAAATTCAATAGTCTGATTGGAAATCCTTTTTAAGGAGACAGGGATAGTTGTGTTATTAATGTTGTTGTTGTTCCTTGTTAGACAGATATTCCAAATTAAGAAAGGAAACAAAAAAACTCCAGGATATGTGTTTGTTTGGAAGATGTGGGTTTTTCTTCTTGAGGTACATGAGCCAATTTTGGTTACTCGTTTGGAAATTACTAGTATCAATGCCTAATTCATCCCATAGAGATTGGACCAGCGGGCATGTGATGAAAATGTGAGTGATAGTTTTCGGTTCCTTACGAAAAATTGTGCATTGCTCGTCTATGTTCATACCTATATGAGATAGATAATTACGGCAGGGTAATTTATTGTGATTACAAAGCCACAGGAAGAATTTAATTTTGTTGGGGCAGTGCAAAGTCCATATCCAATTGAAATCCAATATCGATGGGATGGTGCCCTCAACTATTTCATAACACGATTTGGTAGTAAAGATCCCATTTTCATTTATGTCCCAAGTTAGAGAGTCATTATTATAATCACTTAGGATGTTAGGGGATATAATGTTGCTTTTAATCTCTTGTGGAATATCCAAGGATATTTTATTAAAAATCCAATTGTTTCTTGATCTTATGTCCCTTATCTTAAGAGAGTTATCTTCTTTGGTTAGGGGGCCAATCGCATAGGTTCTAAGGTTATTAGAGTTGGGGATCCATTTGTTTTCCCACAAGTTTAGTGAAGAGAAGGAGTGAATGGACCAGGACATTCCTTGTTGGTAAATTTTCCAACCTTTAATAATATTCTTCCAAATAAAGGATCCCTTTTCACTAGGTTTTTGAGAGTACTTACGGGGCATTGTAAGAGCCTATAAGTTTGTGGTGTTATTGGCTAATCTCCATGCTAGGCTAGCTAATAAAGATAAATTCTTGGTTCTAGCATTTATTAATCCTAATCCTCCTTGAGATATATTAGTAGTTATCAAATTCCAATTGGCAAGGTGCAGCTTCTTTTTTTGATCAGTCGTACCCCAAAGGAAATTTCTTTGAATATGGTCAATTTTCTTGAGAGTTTTTGGAGGTAACATTGTATATTGCATGTAGTATGCTGGTTGGCTAGAAAGAGTTGAGGATATTAGAGTTGCCCTACTAGCCAAGTTTAAATTATCACATTTTCACTCGGAAAGTTTAGTTCTCTTATTGTCAATAACGAATTGATAGTCTTTGTGTTTGGGATTACTATCAATAATTGGAAAGCCTAGATATTTACCAAAAGAGTTGTAAGTGTTTATACCTAGTAATAGGGAAATATTGGTACTAGTTGCTTTCTTGCAATTCTTTGAAAAGATTAATTTGGACTTGGCGTAGTTAATGGATTGCCCAGATAGATCATAGAAATGCTTAAGAGAGTTTCTAATGGATGAGGCAGTTTTATTATTAGCATTGTCAATTAGAACTAGATCATATGTAAAAAAAAAGGTGGGATAGGGGAGGACAGTTGTGTCCCAGGGTAATGGGATCCTTTGACCTAATATCTACCTGATAGTTTAGGAATCTTGATAACATTTCCATGCATAGAATAAAAATATAGGGGGACATTGGATCACCTTGCCTGATTCCCCGACTTGGGTGGAAGAAGTTAGTTTTTGTGCCATTCACACTAGAACATATGTGGATGTTGAGATGATACAAGACATAATTAATTTGGTGATTTTAGGGGGAAATTTGAAGTATAAAAGTGTCCTATATATAAAGGTCCATTCTAACTTATTAAAAACTTTTTCAAGATCTATTTTAATTAATATTTTACCATTAATCCCTTTCATTTTTTTTTTGAATTAGTGAATAAGTTCCTGAATAATAATCTCATTGTCACTAGCCTGTCTGTTTTTGATGAAGCTACCTTGAGTAGGGCTTATAATACTATCCATTAGTGGTTTAAGCCTATTTGCAATTATTTTTGTAATAACCTTATAGATAGTATTGCAAAGACTAATAGGACGGAAATTGTTGAGATTGTTGACATTAGAAAATTTTGTGATTAAACAGAGGTAGGTTGAATTAATTTCCGGGGGAATAGTATTTTCATTAAAGACTTTATGACAAAAATCCCTAACGGAAGTGCCTAAAGTATTCCAATATTTTTGATAAAAAAAAAAGGGTAAAATCCATCTGGCCTTGGAGGTTTGAAGGGCTTAAAAGAAAAAATAGCTATATTAATTTCACAACCAAAAAGAGGGTTGTCTAAGGATGATAGATCAGTGTTATCAAAATTAGTAGGACTTTGCAATATGTTAGACCAATTTGTAACTTTGTGACTAGTGGTGAATAAAGAGGTAAAATAGTTAATCGTATGGTTTAGGATTTCTTGATGGTTATCCATCCACTCATCATTACCATTCTAGAAGAAACTAACATGGTTTTGACGCTTCCTATTTGAGGTTGATATTTGAAAGAACCTAGTATTGACGCCACCCTCATTAAGTCAGTTAATTCGAGATCTCATCCTCCAATGGTCCTCTTCTAATTTAAGAATATTGTTATAATCTTTGATGAGATCCTCTTCTAAATTTTGTAAAAACAGGCTATGAATGTAATGCGAGAAATTTTGGATACCTTTTAGTCTAGCTAAGAGTTTATTTTTATTCTTAGTAATATTACCAAAATTTTTCCCTAACCCATACCTTTACAAATTCAGTGAAGGATTCACTGGCTTCCAATAGATCTCTATTTCTCCAATGTATGGCGATTAAGTTCTCAAATTTTGGATGGGTACACCAAATATTTTCCAGAGGGAAAACCTTGTTGTTAGGGAGATGGTAGTTATTTAATTTAACTAAAATAGGTTTGTGATCCGAGTGAGTTTTTCGAAGATTGGTGATAGAAACATTAGAAAATTTATTTAACCACTCTTCGTTAACTAAAACACGATCTAATCTTTCCATAATTAGCCCTTTCCTTTTCCTATGATTTGACCTTGTGAATTTGCTTCCTTTGAAGCCTGGATCAACTAGTTTACAATAGTCGATATTTTTCCATAGTTTTGAAGCTCTAGATATATTCATGGGCATGCCTCCTAATTTTTCGTTAGTAGTAATATCATTAAGGTCTCCCCTAATAACCAAGGATCCTTGAAGGTATTTGATATTGATTTTAGGTTATCCCACATAAGATCACGATAGAGGCTCTTAGTGCTAGCATGAATTGCAGTAAACAACCAATTAAAATTAAAGGGACGAACTTGAAGAAGGGCA